CGTTGGTGGATATGATTTATGACACAGACTGAGGGAGGGGAGAGTTAGGAGTAAAGTGCAAAGACCATTAACCAGATATCAGTTTCAGCTTCACAGAAGAACATGCCAAAATATTGATCCTAATAAATGAATGAATTTCTTTTGAACTTTGTCTCGAGGCTCGTAAATTAATTAGGTCATCTTTTGGAAACTTCACACTATGATTTTTAGAAAATCATACTAATATAACGAGGGTTGAGGATTTTTAGAACAAAACATCAGTATTTAGAGGATCATAATGAAAATACTTCTTGCATACATTCTCAAACTTATTGCAGAATGAAAATGATACATCAAGAACTTTATTGAAATGTTACTTGATTTTGCTAAACCTCCTTACCTATTCACAATCATGTATTACGCAGTTTAAAATCTAAAGCTCACAACTATAATCTGGAGAAGATAAGCTCCAGATAAGCATACTAATCATAATAGCAAGCAATGGAACAAGCATAATTTCAATGGTAAATAACCTGCTATTATAAATAGGGCTTTGTTGTCTTTCATACATTTTAAAGCTTGAGCTATCCATTTTCGGCGCCGAACATTTTGATTTTTTTCTTTAAACTTATATGAGATAAAAGTAATTATTTCTCTTTTTAATTTGAAACATTTATAATTAAGTATGGTAAGTAGAAAGATAAAGAATTAGTATTTATGAAGCAGCAATACCTGTTCTTTGGTCAGCTTCAGACTTGCACTTTTGCATTCTTCATTAATCAGATATTTCACATAGCTGACAGTTAATGGTTCAAGATGAAGGGTAGGCCACAGCCTTTCAATGAGAAAGCAGAAAGTGACATCTATGGAATTTAACATGTGTAAAGAGTAGATTTAAGAACAATTTAAAAAACCCAGGGCAAATCTCTTAATCTTCAGTGTTCTGAATGTTATGTGTGCCAGATGGCAAAACAATCACTTAGAAGAAACACAACTGTCTCAAAAATCAAATAGTGATTATTAATGGTTTTTCATCAAACTAAGGTACCACAAAGCTTATATTCCAACATTTTTATTAAAAGACTTGAATTGGAAACAATTCCTATTAAATGTCAACAGTCTCAATTGGGTAGTTAATTGGGTAATTAATATCCTAGAAAATAAATATTGAGTTAAAATAGAATTGATAGGAGAAATTAATATGACAGAAAAATGATAGAATGATGGAATTTAACAGAGATATATACAAAATTCTTCACTTAAGAAACAAAAATCAAATGCGAAAGCATAGAATAAGAAACATTAAGCTTGATAATAGTATTTATGAAAAGGATCTTAGAATAACAAAATTATGAGCCAACCATGAACATAAAATCATTTTGCATAGCAACACATTAAAATCAAATTATCTCCAAAGCCAAAATCTTACCACAGAGAAAATCTTTTCTTATTAAGCAAGCCAATAAAATCATTTTATAAGACAGCAATGTTTAAATGCTGTCTCATATTACAAAACATTCACTTAAGCCAGGGGTTGGCAACCTTAAACACTCAAAGAGCCACAAAGGTCCTAATCAAAAGCCCCCCCCCCCCCCGCCGCAAATTTAATTCTGGAGACTACTGGAAGTCTGGTTCCCCCACAATAGTGTCTCCTCCTAGCGCGGCATCCTTTTTCCTCTGCCAACAGGAAGTCTGGTTCCTCCATCATAGTCTCCTCCTAGCATGGTGTCCTTTTTCCTCTACCTATTCTAACCAAAAGCCCTAACCCTAACCCTATCAATTGTGGAGCCAGCCAGCGACAGGGAGTCACAGCACAGGGATGAAATAGCTACATGTGGCTCCACAATCTAGCAGTCCTGCTAGAAATACTTCAAAACCTGCTCCCAGAGGGGAGCAACAGAAACAGAACGTGTAGTGAGTGTGTTGGTCTCTAACAATTCTTTGAGCTCTAAGCACACAGCACTTATAAGCAATATCCTGAATAACAGGAAGTGAGCTTCTTATAATCTTCTCTGCTGTCCTTACCACTCTCAGAATGGACTTTCTCTCTGAAACACCTGCAGCCACCAAACCAAACAGTGATGTTCTCAATTGTGCCTTTGTAAAAAGTGGTCAGGACAGAAAAAAGATGTGCTCCCCTCATCTGATGCAGGAAATGCAGATGCTGATTTGTACACTTCATTAAGGATGATGGGTTGAGAGACAAGTTCATACTATTAGTTATCTGCACCCATAGATATTTAATACTGCTCACCACCTCTACAGCTGCATCCTTGATACTGAGTGGAGTATGACCATGCCGGCTCTTTCTAAAATCTATGATGATCTCCTTTGTTTTATTAACATTTGCACGAGTCCACCAGAGCCTTCACCTCTTCCCTATAAGCATCTTCATTGTCATCTCGGATAAGACCCACCACTGCCGTGTCATCCACATACTTCACCATATGAGGCATAGCAGATTTGGCACAGCGGTCATGGGTCATCAAGGTAAATAGTAGCGGCCACAAGACACAGCCCTGTGGGCTCATACCTGTACTCAAGGAGATAGAGTTAGAGACTTTACTTCCAACTCGCACAAACTAGGGTCTCTCAATAAGAAAATCCATTATTACATAAAGGAGTATTAACACTTAATAGGCTCAGTTTGTTCACCAAATGCTGAGGAATGATTGTGTTGGAACACCAAACTAAAACCAATAAATAGCATTTGCACATGAGTATTCTTCTCCTCCAGGTGCCAATGGAAGATTATGCACATAGGAAAGAGCATCATCTATAGAGCGGTTCTTCCAATAGGCAAACTATAACAAATCCAATGTAGGGGGAAGGCAGAAACCATATAGTCCTTTACCAATCTCTCAAAACACTTTATCATAATGGAAGTGAGTGTAACTCATGGTAATCATTAAGGCATGTAATAATAATTTTTTTGGGTACAATGATGGCAGCCTTAAAACATGATGGAAACATGGCCTGATGCAGCAAGAAACTGAAGGTGCCTGTGAGAACAGTGGCCAGCTGGTCAACACACTATTTGCCCAGGGATATTATCAAGATCCACAGCTTTTCGAGTATTGACTTTCTGCAGGACCTCCTGAACAGCAGTTGTATCAAACCTGAGTGCCTGCTCATCAGGGAGGGGAACAGTCTTCCTTGCTAGAACATTGTTTGTGGCCTCAAACCATCCAAAAAACATATTTAGCTTGTTTAGTGAACCCGTGTCACCCTTACATGTCAGGGTGTCATAATAATCCAAATACTTTGCCACATATGTTTCAGATCCATAGGATCTTGAAAAAAATTCTGTACTTTTTGACTATAGGCCTGCTTTATTGTTTTTATAACACATCTCAAATCAGCTCTTGCTATTCTAAGTGCTGTGACATCACCTGATTTGAAAGTGGTGTTTCTCACTTTCAACATCACATGGACCTTCTGAGATATCCAAGATTTCGCTTTGCTTGTATGACAAAAGTCTTAAGAACACTGTCATCCTCATATGTTTTTGCATATAAGCAGACACAGTAGAAGTATATTCATTCACATCAGTATATTGTCCATTCATTGCAGCCTCTTTAAATAAGTTTCAATTAAATATGTTTCAATTAATCTTGCAGAGCTTCCATAGCTCCTGCTGGCCACATTCACTTGTTTTCTAATTGGTCTCTCTCTAATTAATAAAGACTTATATGCTGGCATAAGCATCACAGAGGATCTGAGGAGCCAAAAAGAAGGTGAGGGCAGCCTTAAATGCTTTATCGATGTCAGAGTAAGCTAAGTCCAGGATGTCCCCACCCCTAGTGGTAAAGTCCACATATTGATGGAAACTAGGGAGGGCTGCTTTCAAGTTAATATGATTGAAATCCCCTATCACAATGAAAAAACCCTCCTGGTGGATAGTTTGCAAGTCATTGATAATTCTATAAAGACCAATCAAGGCTTCATTCTTATTGTCAGGAATAATATACAAATGAACTTTTTTCATATGTAAACACATCTCCCACTTGCATCCTGAAGTGTTACAATTCAGGAGCATCTACAGTATTTTTCAGACTTTAAGATGCACTAGATTATAAGATGCACCAAGATTTAGAAGAGGTAAACAAGAAAAAAAAAGGTTTTGCCCTCCCCAGCCCCCAGGAGCCCTCTGCAGCTCTCCCAAACCCTCTGTGTACCCCGTTTTTGCAAAGGTCCAGCCATAGTCCAAATCTAACAGTAGCGAGGACCCAGAGACCTGATATAATGCTCTCCCACCAGTTGGCAAACAACACCAACCGGCTACCAATGGGGGCCACCGAGGCCCACTCATTTATTCCTGTGGAAGAGGCATCTGCCCCCCCTCCGAAAGGGCTGCTCACTCTGGGGCTGAAACCAGGACCTATCGGTGTATGAAGACCTATCATGCCCCCTGTCCTGACGCAACTGAAATCCTCTAGGCTGGTAATGATAATCAGTATCAGCACTCCTATAGCGTGTCCTACATGTGCAAGGTATAAACCTATGTTCCTGTGTCTTACTCGTGGCAGGCAAAACCTTACATTTGTTCTTATCCTCAATAAGAATCGGGTACAAGATTTCACCAAACAGATTCTTCCCCGTATATGGGCCTGCTGCCAGCCTCCACTTTGCCTTAGCAACCGCCTGCCAATTCCGGAGCCACATCATCCTTCTAGCTGAAACAGAAGAGGAAAGAGCTCTGGAGGCAAACTTAGCATTATTCAGGGTCGCATCAGCCGAAAACTGTGTCGCAGCGATGACCTTGCTGATATCCTGTAGCAACCTCATATCATGTGCAGCACATGCTCCTGCATCTGTTTAAGCCACATCAGCATGGCACGGTTGAATAAGGATACAAAGAAGGCAGCCTTAATCGCCCATGTTGCTGCAAGAAAGGTCTTACACAAAGTTCAGTCCTCTTATCTTCCGCCTTTAAGTTGTCTGTCACATCACTAGCTACCATGGGTGCCGGGGATGCCAAGGCAGCCACATGAGCATCCTGTGCAGAGCTTGAAAAAAATCAGGCTCCGCATTATTGAAGCACCTGTCATTACCACCTGGGGTGGGGAAGGTACCTGGCTTGGCCCACTGCTTCTGAATGACATCCAGAAATAGCTTCGGTGCAGGAATTTCCTCCTTCCGTGCCGCAGGCTCCACGAAGAAACCCCACTTCCACGGAGCCTTCTTTGATGTCGAAGCCTCAATCGCCAACTCCTTCTCCTTCAGCTTGTCAGCCTCCGTCTCGACAGCTGCAGTACGTCTGGTCTTGAACAGCAAGGAAACAAACCCACAAATGTGGGGACATCGGGCGCCAAACCTTCATCATCAGAAAGCTCCGTTTCCTTCTACTCCTTTTCCTCCTGGACTGAAACCTCGCTCCTCAATGGAGACACCGCTCTCTGCGCTCTGTCCGAATGAGCAACCAGCTCCTGGATGCATCTGCGCCTGGCTTCCATCAACTCCACATCTGCTTGGTCAGAGGAAAGCCCCTAAACAGCTATGCCATTTGCAATGACTCGATGAATAAGAGATTCTATATTATCAGGCAAATCATCGAATTCACCAACAGCATGGCTGTGACCAGGCCCTGGTGCCAGTTTTTGTCTCCGGACTGGTCTTGAAACAGGCTCTAAGCATGAAAAAGGAAGATCAACGCCTTCCTCGTCCTCCACCTCCAAAAGAGGGGGTGAAATAGAACCAGCCCTTGGAAACCCAGAAATCCTGGGGGGAGAAAGGGAGGGGGATAGCGGTGCCACCCTCAAGGCAGAAGGGGACCTCACTGTAGGCAAGGAGACCTTCTCTTCGCCCCCATGCCTGGGCTTCTCTGATCTCCCATCCCCTTAAGCACCCTGCCTGGTGACAGGTTGTTTCACCAATATAGGAGGGCTAGCTGGGGAAGCCTTCCTCTTCCTGGAGCCCTTAGAAGTACCAGCAGAAGCCATCCCAGAGGTGCTCTCACTGGGGGAGTCAGACATTGTGGCACCTCCTCTGTGGCAACAAGTTGCACCCACAGAGGCTGAGGTTCTCTGAAGCAGCAAGGGCCAGCTGACGTCCTCCAAATAACTGCGACTGTACACGCAACAGCCGGCAACCACAATGAGCCTCGTGGCCAGTAATGATAAAACAAAATGGCCGCTGCCCTCGTGACTCCTCAAAGGGTCACCCAAAATGGCCGTCTCCCCGTGGCCTCCAACCAAATGGCCACCGCCACCACCAACAAGATGACCACCGCCACGAGGACCTCACCAACATGGCTGCCATCCCAGAACCCTTCCAAAATGGTCACCCCCAGGGCCTCATACTCACGTGGAAAGGCAGCTCCCAATAGAAGAATGGCCCGGCAAGCAAACAGCCCCAAGAACACCCGGCACGGCCATGCAGCACCACCGCACCCACAGCCTGCACTGATAGCGCCTCCGGCTCTCTGCACTCACCCACTGCCATGTGGAAGGTGCCAATGCTCTTCCGATGTGTCCCCACACCAGTAGTGCCGCCACCCGCCTGGTACAGCCTCTGAGAGCCAGCGGCATCGCAGGGGCCTGCCTCACTCCACGCACGATCAAGCAGCATGACAGCGGAGCCAATGGAACCCACCAGTACAGCTAGCAGCACCTCTCTGATGTCCAGAAAGCCTCCAAACAGGCACCCAGTCCATTTGCATCACAATTGCAATAAAAAAGGGTGAAAAACAACTTGGAAGCCAAGTTAGCCATCCAGTTGAAGCAGACAGCACCAACTACACCAAGGAAACCAAACAAAGGAATAAAAACTAACCACTAAAGGAAACAAAACAAAACAGAACAAAACCAACTCATCAGCAAGTAAAACATACATCTCTTCTCGGGCAAGACTGAGTCGGAATTGGAAGCAGCAAGCGGGAGTTGGAGGCGTGGCTTCAGCTCTGACTCAGTCTCTTGGGCAAATAAGGATTGAACAATCCACTACTGGAGCCTCCTGCACCGCTGGAAAAAAAATTTTTTGTCTTCATGGATTCATAGTAAAAACATTCTGCCATATGAACTGTACAGATAGAGCTGACTCTTATAAAGTACTTAACTGCTGTCTGCAACTGAGATAAAAACTAACATGCCTGATTTTTCCCAGCTCAATAGCGTAGTTTATTGTATAACAAAACAAGTTTACCTCCAAGCTTGTGGACAACTTTCAACATTCACAGATACCACAACTCTTACATTCACTGGCAATGGATCAATCAGCCACTTCATATGCTTTTCAGCTTGCTGAGAGACATAAAGTTAATTTAAAATTCAGAATGCTGTAATATTTTTCTCATTGAAAAATATCCTTTACATTTTTTTCTTTCAGCTGCCTACATAAAATGGACTGCACACATACAAAGCATAAAACTATGTGTCTGATGTTACATATATGATAGTTACTATCTCCAGAACAAAGGACCTTTTCCTGGCCTCTCTATAATGATTCTGTTTTAGCTTAGGAGTTGCCGGCAATGTTTTGATTATTAAACATGTTTTATATTATAATTAAACTTTATGTGTTTATGTGGACTATTTGACTGTATATATAAAATAAATCATAACTTAGCATATGTGAATCCAGTAATCAGGAACAAAGAACAATATTCTGTCCCAGTTCTATTCAGGTTTCTTATCGTATGCAGTTACAAATGTGAATATATTTTCTCTGTATGTTTATAGTACATTGTGCAAAAAAAATTATCTTAAAGTAGTAAAAAATAATCTAAACAATTCTAAATCCATCTTTCAGTAAAAGCAGAAGTCAAAGAATGCTATACCTGTATCCGATCAACTGAATCAATAATTATTATAATGTTGCCTTGCTGGCGAGCAGAAAGTTTTTCTAGCCAACGAGGAAATTCTTCTAATAATTTAGCTGGTTCCAATAAGGTAGGTGAAACTGACCAGGAATTTTGCATAAGCTGTGAAAAAATAAACAGAAACAAAAATGCTTCATTTTAATAATATTTTATCTAAAAATGAAACAAAGAAGTAGATCTTTTTAGACTTTATTTGGTTGAAGTGATTTTTATTTAAAAAAAAGATTAGAAAAAAAAATTGTGGCTAATTTACTCTATCATCTTTCTGTCCAAAGCCTGGAATAGGAAATTAATAATAAATTAATAACCTCTAACTCCAAATTTAGCTTATATGATATTCCATAATTTTAGGCCAAGAACAAAACTAAACTGGCATTAAATGTTCCATAATTTAGTTGACATACTGATTCTAACCATAAAAATCACTCGGCATGTTTTATATTTTCTTTTTCCTTAGCCTAATGACAAACTTAATGTCGTTTTGTTGCAGCATAAATACATCTGCAAAATATACTACTCTGAAACTATAACATAGAATAGTATTGAAACATTATTATTATTATTAATTATTAATTATTAATTATTGTTATTATTATAAAGACCTTTAAAAGAAAGGTCAAATATTACAAATTATGTATAAATTAGAATGTACAATTCTTAGTCCTTTGAAAGGGGACAGTTATACTCTAACCGAATGGTTAATATGAAATTCTAAAGTGCCTTCTAGTCAAAGAAACTATAAAACCAAGGAATTAGGATTTTTTTTCAGTATCATAAGCAAATAAACTAAGAGAAGCTAATGCACTAGCAGAACAGCTGCCAATTGGGAAACATAAACTATGCTTGCCTAAAGCCAGAAACTTAGGAAATATGGCCTAGTTTTATTCCTTAGTCAGATAGCTAGAAAGGACAGTAGAATACATTTCTTATGATTGATACTTTATACTAAAGGGAGATTTTTTGCTTTTGCAAATTTGATACTAAGGTCAAATTAAAGTAAAATTTAACCTTGAAATTATTATACTCCACCAACATATAGATTTGTAGATACCCAAATTTAACCTTGAAATTATTATACTCCAACAACATATGGATTTGAAAGTACCCAAAAATTTGAGTTTCTGCAGTCACAGAATCTATATTTTAATTTTACAAGATGTTTAAATCAAAACACGGTTTAATTTACTATTATATCTCACTTGGTAATTTACACTGTGTTAATTACAGTTCTCAATATTAATGCTTATTTTAGAGCTTAATTTTGATTTTTAGACTATAAAATATTGTAATATGTTCTTATTAATAATCAACTAATCTTATACTGAAACATTTCATTTCTATGACATTGTTAAATCCCAAGTTCATCAATTTCTCTTAAATATTTTATCCCTTTTTCTATTCTTTTTTATATTTATATATTTTTTGAAAGCATAAAAATATAAAAAAGAAAATTAAGCATAATATAGTGAAATAGAATTCTCATTTTATTATGTGAAAAAGTGTTGTGGTTCCCATAGGCTAATACACAGTAAAATATACCTACTTTTAAAGTGAGACGTTTAAGAATCAGTGTAGGCTCCGAACTGCTCGACATTGGTTTCCCAACAAAATGATAGAGAATGAGTGTATTTGGAGAATGCTTCTGCTGTAATTGAATCCTAATAAGAAAAAATATATACTTATCAACTCAAATACTACAAACAGTTCTACCAAAATATAGATGGTTATGTTGTTATACTGGAAAGTTTTTTTTATGTGGCTATATTTAATTTTTTAAACATTGAACTATCAACTAGATATTAATGATTGTTTCAAAAAAATGGAAAAGAAAATATGTTGATCCTTGCATTAAGGGACTGGCCCACTTAGTTTAGTGTCACATAATTGGCAGGAGCTCTCTAGGAACTCATACTGTAAGTTTTTCCAGACTTGTCTTGAAATATTAGGCATTGAATATGATACCTTCTGTATATAACTTATTTTGCCAATGAACTGACATTCTTTTCGAAAGATTTAAACTTCTGTGCTGCAGTTTCTTTGGCATTTGGTCTTAATGGTGTCATCAATAACAGTTTAAATTCTAAAGTTAAGGTAAATGAACAAACAGTCCTTAGAAAGTAAATAGATACATATACATATACATTTTAAAATTTAACTATCTGTATCAGTATACTTTATACAGATTACAGTGAGACACTAAAAAATGCAACTAAATTATGTCATTGCACAGGTGAAACATTTTTTTTCCTTTTCCTTGCTGAACAATATTCCCACCAAGATAAAATGTCAGGAATGGTCACAAGGATAGCTGGTTGGAGGATCGTGAAAACCTAGATGGAGAAGATTCTGTGGTAAAGTAACAAATGTGTAATATGCAGAACCTAGCTAACTCTCTGCAAGAGAACTCTATGGAACAAATGGAGGGGGGGTAGACAAAATCTTATGACAGAGCCCATTGTATATAATATAAAGTTTAGTTTAGTTTAGTTTATTTGTCTTGTATGCCGCCCACTCCCGAATGACTCCAGGCGGCTCACAATAAACAAGGGAAGGGGATAAATAGACAAAAACAACACTTTAAAATACGCAACATTCACAGTTTCTGTGGGGCTGGATATTTCACAAGCTCCCCGGCCTGCTGACGCAGCCAGGACTTGCTGGCTTTGCGGAAGGCCGGGAGGGTCCGGATATCCACGGGGAGGTCATTCCAAAGGGCTGGAGCTGCAACAGAGAAGGCTCTCCCCCGGGGAGTCGCCA